TGTGGATATGTGTGTGTGCACAGAAGTGTGCGTGTGTGCATGTTTACCTTTGTGTTCTCACATATGTATGTGTGTGCACCTGTTTGTGTATGCACATGCACACAGGGGTATGGCTGCACGTGCACATCCATATGTGCATGCACATGTGTGTGCATGTGTTAGAGCCAGAGGGAAGAGCTGGCCGGTGTCAGGGAGGCCATGACCTGGGCAGAGCTCAGAGAGCTGGGCCTAGAGGCCGCCCCCGGCCAGTCCCCCATGGCTATCGCTTCCACCCCCTCTCCTCCCCTCCCTGGTCTGGCCCCAGGGGCAAGTGATGTTGCCCCAAGCCCATGGGTGGGGGGGACAGGACCCACCCCGCAGAGTCCCTGGTGCCTCAGCTATGCCACCATGGACAGGGGCACAGGAGCAGGCTGGAGCCGGAAGGGACATGGCCAGGAAGGTCAGGCGAGCACAGAGAGGGGCTGGGGGACGTCGCAGAGGGTGGTGGTGGGGGCCAAGGCAGGCAGCGCTCCCCGGAGGAGCTGGCCGAGAGGGATTGTGGAAGAGGACGAGGCATGGGAAGGCCACAGGCCTGGTTCTGGCTCCAGCTGGACTCTCCGGGCACTGAGTGCCCCTGGCCCTAGTGCAAGGGGCTGTACAACCCCCCTTGGTGCCCCAGGGGGGTAGATGGGAGCCAAGGGGTGCTGGGACTCAGCAGATGGGGGCTCAGGGGCCGGACCCCTGTGGCTCAGGGCACCAGTGGGCTCCAGCTGGCTCGGGGCAGCAGTGCCACGTGGGGAGGACGTGTGGGACTCCTGCCCATGCTCATGGGCTGTGAGGGGTAGAGCTGTATGTGTGTGTGCATATGTGTGTGTACACACATGCCAATATGGGTATGTGCATGTGCAGGCATGTGTATGGGTATGTGTGCGCATACGTGTAAGTGTGAGAGAGACAGGACGGCAGACTGGACAGGACAGTCATGGATTCATTCCTCCCCGGGGAGGGGCAGTGTTGGAGGTGGGGGTCAGGCTGGCCCAGGACTCCTGGGCTCTCCGGCCACCTCTGGGGAGGAAGGTGATGGGGTAGTTAGAGCCAGGCACTGGGGGGGGGGCAGGATTCCTGGGTCCCATTCCCCCAGGCTGGGGCACTGGCTCGAAGCCTCCCCTGTGGCCTAAGGCAACCCCCTGCCCCCCTAGCAATGCCTATCCCCACCCCCCAAAAAGGCTGCTTGTATTTATCCCCCTATTTATTAGCAGCAGCAGCGGGTGTGGGGCCTGGACCAGGCAGCACGACCTGGGGGGCCAGGACTGGCCCCGTCCTTGCACAGCCCCAAGCTTGGTGTCCGCCCCCCATCCCCAGGGCTCCTGCCCATCAGGGCCCCCCACCCACTAACCTGCCCTGTGCCAGGGCTCATGGGCTGGGGGTCCCTGGGGCCTGAGGGCACTGCAGGCTGGGGGCAGCTGGATGCCCACCCCAGCCCCTCTGTGCACTGGGCTAGGAGCTACAGTGCCCGCCCCTCCTCCCCTGCCATGTGGGCATCGGGATGGCGTTAGCAATGGGCCTGTTGAGAGCAAGGCCCTAGCCATGGGCCTCCCAGATGTGCCCACGTCCAGCTGTGCCAGGGCAGGCAGCTGCAGGGTTTTGAGAGGGGCGGGGGTCATTGCCCATGTTGGGCTTCTTTTTTTTTATACCACTCTGGAATAAACAGCTTTAAATGGCTCTGTGGAGAAATGGCGCTGATGTGGCACTGCCTTGGGGTGTGGATGGGGATGAGGCAGGGCCCCCCTGCCCCAAAGACCATGGGGGCAGGGACTGCTGTGCACATGCCCAGGCAGCTGGGGCATCATCAGGGCTTTGGGGGGGGAGGTGTCAGGCCTCCTGGGTTCTCTGCCCTGCTCCAAGGGGCATGATGCCTAGTGGGCAGAACGGGGCAGGGCAGGGCAAGGGAGGGGCATTGGGTGGCAAGACACCTGGGCTCTTCTGCTATCTCTAAGGGGAGTGTGGCCTAGTGGGCCGAGATGGGGGGGTCAGGGGTAGGGGGTCAGGACTCCTGGGTTCCCTGCAGGGAAGTATGACCTAGTGGGCAGAGTAGGGGGAGATGGGGGGTGGGGGGCAGTGTTGAAGGTTAGGACTCCAAGGGGAGTGTGACCTAGTGGTGAGACGGGGGGAGGGGAGGGGAGGGAGTGGGTGGCAGGAGGCTGCATGTCCAGCACGGGGCTCAAACACCCACCTCTGGAGACAGAGGGGACCACGGCCCCATCACCCTCCCCTGATGGAGACCCCATAGCACCCCCGCATCCTCCTTCCTCCCTCCACCCTCCCCCCGTCCCATTCAAGGAGCCAGAGGCCACTCTGTGCCCTGGAGTTTATTGTTCTCCGACACCTGTACAGCGCCGGCGCGGCCGCGCGGGGCAGGACAAGCAGAGCAAGCGGCGTCCATACAAGCAGGGTTTGGGGCCAGGGGCATTGAGAGCAGCGAACATGCGCGTTGGATGCGGACTGCGACGGATGGGCCTGGTCTCCCCCATCTCCTCCTCTCCCCCACGGCTCTAGATGGGGCCGTAAAAT